CAGGGGTCTGGTGGAGGACTCAGGGGTCTGGTGGAGGACTCAGGGGTTTGGTGGAGGACTCAGGGGTCTGGTGGCGTAGGTCGAGAAAACCGAGTGGTTGATAGGCAGATCTATGGATATCCACATACGCCCTACGCCGTACACCCCTCCCCTCTCACTGGATAGCCTGAAACTCCTTTCTGGTGGACCCCACTGACAACCAAAAAAAAAGAAAAGGACCGACATGGGCCGACCTTTGCAGAGTGTACCCCGTTTGCCTCTATCCACATTTAAAACCTTTCTTGGAGAACGGGTGGAATACTAGTAGTAAGGCCAGGAGCCCCGTTCGTAGCGTCCTTTTGCTCCTAGTGGCGATGAGGGAGTGAGTAGAAACTGCAGGAGTCCGTGAATAGAAACTGCTTGCTCCCCCAGGTGGTCAGCCCCAGAGTCACCCCAGAAGGTCTCAGATGTGTTTTTTTTCTATAGGGATGAAATTGGTGGGAGGTGAAGAAGGTGTTTTTTTCATTTCCAGTTCATGGACCTGCGATTTTGAAGGAGCTGGCAGTTGAAATCCCCAAACAAACAGCTGCTCTCCTCTGGAACTGGTTCTGGTTCGACATTCTGTTCATGCTATTTTCCACCCGACAACTGGGTTAGTTCCCCCCCAGCTCACTCTGGACTGAAACAACATTGAGTTCAGAACAGGATGGCTTGGTCTACAACGCGATGGACGGTGCCAAGAAGCTCGGCCACTTGGTTTGAACACCAAGCCCTGCCAACAGGGAGCCGGGTTGCACAAAGAATGTCGGCTCAGTACCTTGACAGTCAGCAATTCACTTGCAAAAGTTGTTTCGTTGCGGAGTTCCCGTTCAAGAGAGCCTGAGTACAGTAGAAAAGATTTTGAAAGCGGAAGAAGGACCCAAAACATGCTCGACCCTGCAAAATCAGGGTCTGAAGTCCTAAGATATCCCAAGATCAAAGCCATTCTGGGAATAGGAATCCTTTGAGGTTCTTGGGCAGGTCGGGGTTCTTACTTCGGATGGGATGCTGCTGGCCCTGGGACTTCTATGCTATCTCAATAGGTCGAGCATGCCCCATACGAGGCTTCAAAGCAAGCAGCGCTTGGTTTTGGGAACCTGGAGCCCCGTGGCAAGTTCGATGTGTTCGCTCTGTTGGCTCCATACTGTAGCACTTTTCCCTGGCGTTATTCCCATTTCTCCCCGCAGCCTTTTCCGAAAGTTTCGGATAGGCCACAAATTAGTGCTCCCACCGGACGTGCGAACCAGCCACAGCTGTTCTGGATCTAGCGCCTAGCTGGATAGATGTAGGACTGACTATACGACTCCACTTGCACTTGCCCTTCATGCTGTAATTGTGGTACCTTAGGCATTACTGCGGACGAGATGGGCAAGAAGTACGATGCTTGGCTGATTGAGCTGGGGGGAAGCAACGAGATCTATTCTCAAACACTCCATGCATGCCGTATAATTATGCCTACATTGACCCCTCAAACCACCCCAATGTAAGCATATACGGCATACATGGAGTGTCTGGGGATTGTATCGTCTTTGGTGACGCTTGGTAAGCGGAGGTCTGGTCGACACAGTGCCAAGGAGGCAATGGCCGATTGCGCATTGCGAGAGCAATATCCTACTGTATAAGCACAGTTGCTACTGCAACAGGCTGCCCATACAAGTGCAATAAAATTTTGATTATATATCCTTCATCGAACATGTTTGCTTCGGCCACAAAAGATCATCTGTCCACCACAATGACAGCACATGATTAGTTTATATTAGTTTGACATAGCTTGACAGAGCCTTGTCAACAAATGTGTGTTTTTCTTTTTTGTCTTATCCCAGACACTCCATGTATGCCGTATATGCTTACATGGGGTGGTTTGGGGGGGTCAATGTAGGCATATATGGCAGACATGGAGTGTTTGGGTCTGTTTTGTTGAGCCGCATTTCTCTGCACCAAACCCTCTCTTCCTTTGCACCAATACGTGGGCCATGGTGTCCATGAGGGCGCGGTTATGGGGTGCTCCACCCACCAGTGCCGGGTAAGGAACACATAAACATCGCGGAGCCGTGAGGGGCATCCACTTGGACATGTTTTTTTCAAACGCCGAATTTGAGGCTCTGCATTTTTATAAGAAAAACCATGCAAACTCCTGACTATAGCGCTTCCTGTTTGGGTGTCCTTTGTGGAGACCTATGAGTAGTGTGCAGGAACCCGTCCAGCCAGGCGATTCCTGACGGGAAGCAGCTGTGTTTGATCAAAGGCTGTGTGGAGTTGGGAGAAGCATCTTTGAAGGAACATGTCACCCTACCAGACCTGAGATACAAGAACACAAGAACCACCCTGGTGCGCCTCTCTGAATGGTGTTGTAAGATTCTAACTGCTAACAGGTCTCCATCAGTATAGATCGGCCTCAGCACTTTCGTTCAAGTTCGAATCCACCCTGTGAAGAAGGTAACGAAGCGAGGCTAGGGTTCCCAGTTTGCTCAGGATGCCTTGAAGAAGGGCGAAGGCATCATCAAGTTCGGCGGCGGCTTCTACTGCGGCAAGGTCGACGACATCTACGTCATCAACGGCCACTCAGACCATGGATGGCCCGGTTTTCCACCCCGTGCTTCGATCCGCGTCGGGGGTGGCGAGCTACTATGACCTCACGACCGAGCGCGGGGATGACTAATTACATTTAGTTACTAGGGGTTACGGCGACGGTTACTGTATCCCAGACACGACCCATGGGAGCTGCCAGGACGGACTGCCGCCCCAGACCCCCGTGGCTCCACCCCAAACTGATCAGCGACGGCAGTCCCAAACGACCTCGTGTCTGGGTTATAGTTAAGGCCCCAAGACTCGACGTTCTTTTTCGTCAAGAAGCAATGGCAGTGCGCGGAGTCATGGGACTTGGATGGTCCAAGAGTATCAACAAAGTCGTCGTTCGAGCACTGGATATCACTGGAGTCTGTGACACATAAAGAGGGAGGAGTTTGAAGTTTGAGACGGCCCGTGGACGAGGCTTTTACATGAACATGCGCTCCAAGTTCACTGCACCTGGCACCAGCATCTACTACTACGAGGCAGTTTTGAGAGCCAAAAACCGGCGTGCGTGGTGGCTTTGTGTTGGGCTTGTCCTATTACCTGTAGCAGTCAGTAAACAACGATCATGATTTTCGAACAAGGCCTCTACTAACCATCATCCACTGTTACTGGCAATATACTGGTAAATAGGATAGGCCCAAGCTCTATGTCAGTTTTCCTCAACCTCAAAAGTGTGATTGCTGGATACTGGGAGTGATTTGCTCTGGTTTTGGGTCTTGGAGCTGATGGGTCTTGCACGGGGAGCGCAGTGGGGGGGAGGGCACGGGGTGTGAAACCGACCTCCGACGAATGGAACCAAGCAGGATCGATCCTTTCAAGGCCCTTCACCTGAACCAAGCAGGTTCACCTGAACACCTGGGGGTTCACCTGAACACCTGGGGGATGAGAGCGCTGAACACCTGGTTTGGTTTGGGGGAGGGTATATGAGAGTATGGGAATGGCGGACTGTCCGGCGAAAAGCTCAAGGTTGTCTGCCTCTCCATCACTTTGAAAGTGTTTAAAGCTGCCTTTTCTGGCAGACTCTTAGACCCACTGCCCCCCTTTGGTTCGTATGGGATTGGTTGCTGAACCCCCTAGTTGCTCTGGTTTGGTAAAGCCTGAGCAGAAGATCTCTTCAGACAGGATTTTCTGGGCTTATTTGGGCCTTGGCTCGTCAGTTCGATGCTTCATGGCTTCACACGCCGCCAGTTTCCTGACCTGGTGCTTAGCTAGTAAGGAGGAGGAGGGAGTGAATCCGAAGGTATCTCTTACTAAAAAACCACTGGTGCTCATTCCCTCGTACCTCAGTCAGTTTCATTAGACTTGGCTATCCAACCACCTCGATGGTTGAGCATTGGCATCTTATTAAACCCTGAAAGACATCACGTGCGACAGCTGGAGGGTTTTCTTTTCCCTCTTTGGGTGACGGAGAGGGAGCCCAAACGTCACAACCTGACAGTCGCGGCACTCCACCCGGGCCGTCGGAAAAGTGTGGAACCATCGGGGCACCGGGCCGGTCGGAGCTTCGGACTGAAGTAGAGGTCTCTACGCACCCTATCTAATATATAACCTTATAATAGTAGGCAATCAAATAGGTCGATATCTATAACATTCTATAACCTTATAATAGTAGGAACTTATATGAGGTCGATTTTTTTAGTGGTTCGAATTCAAGCAACCATGATGTACTGCAAAACCAGGCCAACCATCGTTTTAGGTTAGGTCTTGAAAGCCCAGTGGTTCAGTGGCTTCAGTATATTGAATAGTTGCTACTGTGGCTTCAGTCGATGCCGATGCGGAGAAAGGCGACACTTCCACCCAACACACCCAACACCACTACAAAAGCAGCAACTTTCAACCATCGTCCAGCCTGTACGTATACCATCTTCTATTCCGTACCTCCTCAGCCTGCGCTGCCGGTCTAGGTGGAGTGGCCAACGGAGAAGATGTCCTGGGCCGACTTCCGCGGCAAGTTGCTGGGCCCCACCGACCCCGCGAGCGCTCCGGAGGGCTCCCTGCGGCAGATGATCTACAGCCAGCGCCGCAGCGAGAGCAGGGGGGCGGGTTGGGGCGGGTGAAAGGGCCCAACGGGGGAACCAGGACCCGACCGAACGACGTAGTTTCTGGACACCGGACGGGTGGAGTCCCACATGTGAGGTGAGGGGGTCCAGGTTTCTGGGAGATCCCGCGGTTCAAACTCCAAGGGTGAGGGGGTCCCCCTAGTAAAAACAATACCCCCATAGAAGTAGTAGAAGGAAGACGTTTAGAGCTTGGCACATTGTGGGTTGTTTGGGGTTGTTTGATGGGCGAGGTGGGGGTGGATCAATCTTGATGCGTATGTTTATGGATTTGTGACATGTATGTGTTGTGTGGGTGCTGGGCTGTGTGATGCTGTGTGTTTTGGCAAGCGTCAACAGTAGTCATCAGAATCTTAAGTGCTGATAATTTGTTGATCACTCAATTCTGTTTGACAACCCTGGTTCTGAATCACTTTAGGAATCTTGAGGGGCTTGTGAAGCAGTCCCCATGTTGGGCTCGCTGTCATGCACATGTCCCACTCCACCACCAGATCCCGGCCGTGGTGGCCTCCCCCCGAGGTGGTCGGACCTCGGCTTGAAGGCACAGCCGGACACCGGGGACAACGGCGCCCTGGTGGAAGGGTGGCGACACGTGGACGGGTGGTGGACCCACTCGAAAGGTCGTGTTGTGCCTCAACGGGCACCCGGGGCAGCCCTTGCGGTGGGCAGCAGAGGTGGAGGTTGGGAGGTTTTGGAAGCACAGGGCACCTGGCAGAAGGCAAGTTTCCTGCAGAAGGGCACGCCATGGTACGCACACCATCGCGGTCAGCAGGCGCACGACGAACACAAAGGCACCGAACCGAACACCCACCCCTTGTCAGTGTGGGAAGACTGTGCCTAAGAGGTCTCATTCTTTTTAGGATCATCCTTATCTTCCTTGACCCAAGGCTAACAAAGAGACATGTCATGTCGCCTTCATTCGCTTGGTGGCTCCTTCGCATCTGTTGAACCTTCCTCCCGCCCTGTGACCGCCACGGTTCCCGTAGTTCTTTCCAGCACCACCGAGGCGTGCATGCCTCGGCGTCGCCCTTTGAGGCGCTGGCCGAGCGCAGCAACTGGCTGCGGGCCTCCATCTCCAAGGACAGCCCATGGCGTAGGGTTTTCGATGCCTGGACAAATGGGATACCTATGGACACCTATGGGTGACCTATGAGAGGTCATAACTATTTTAAATAGGTGCCTACCTCACCTGGGGTACCCAACTGGGAGAGTCGATCTATCGGCTTCTTCAACCTCATCACCCATGGCATGGTCGCGACAGACGCGACGCCCCAACGGTGTGACTGGGAGAGTCGATCGCCCTCCACTCGGCAGCGAGAGAAGGTCCACCTCGCAGCGGCCGTGGACCGGACGTTTCGACCGACGTCGGACCCCCCCGACACGAAGGGTCCCAGGGACCGAAGAGTTCAGCGCCGCGGGACCGAAGAGGATGGTGGGTAAAGACTAGCCCATAACCTTCCTGACCCACCATTCATAGGCAGGTCATCCCGAATCAACTAAGGGTTTTACACTACAAAAACACAGGTCAAAGCCGTTTTTTAATGGTCTTGGAAGTCTAGGGCTTGCTTTTGCTCAGGAGGGAGAATAAGGAGCCAGCGGTATCCATATTTCCCCAGCTCACACGGGAGTTCTCCTTGCGCCCTTCAGTCTGACAGTGAACACCACTGAGCCAGACCTGAATGAGGTCGCGACGGCATGTCTCATGAAGATGTCCGCTCGTGTGTTGGACGTTGGACAGGGAACGTTGGACAGGTGGCTGTTCACGAAGCCAGCGTTTGGCGCGCTCATGCCGAGGGCCCCGGAGTCATTGGGCCCGCATTTTCGCATCCACCTCACAACATACAGTGGTTTCAGAGTAGATGGCACAGACCCCAAGATGTCTTTTAGATGGGGTCCATATAAACCACCGACATTGGGGTCTGTGCCATGTACTCTGAATCCACTATAATTATTTGGCTGTGGGTCAAAGCCCGGGGGACCTTGGTTGACCACTGAACATAGAATAGATTATATACCAGACATGGTCAACCTACCAGGGTGCCAGGAGCTGGTTTTGATCCACTGCCCTGCCCAGGATGGCTGGCTTGTGAGATCTTGAAAACATATAGGAAATGGATGGAAATGGCCTCCAGTCCTGGAGGAGTTCCATTGTAGACTTGTAGACCTGCTTGGCTCCTGGGGTTCCACCCCACTTCTCATCCTTTTTCTTCCATCGCAGCTGGAGAGCCTGGGTTTTGCCAGATGGGTCCACCGACCGGCCGGGTAGCTCCTAATCTCCGAAAACGTCGTTTTGGCTTGAAGGTGCAGGTCCATGAGTCGATGAAACGACTCGGCTTGTGGAAACGACTCGGTGAAATATGTCAATGACATGGTTTTGCTTAGAAGGTTTTTTCCCCCCCTATGGGTGGATCCCCTTCTGCCAGTGGCCCTCAAAACCATGAACAATAGAGGTTTTCACACACATATATAGTAATATAAATCATGCTCATACCATGCGCTTTTTGCTGGGAAACAGCCAAGAAACATTTTTGCCGCGGAACCAGACGAGCGAGGACGCCTTCGGGAAAGCGCTCTTGGCCAGCGGCGTGGCACCTGGTATGGCCAAGGACAGCGGATTGGGCGTTGTTTCATGAAGAAACACCAGCAACACACGAAGGGATCCACGAAGATGACATATATAGACTGTTTGAACCCATTGGACCTCTGTTTTGACAGGGAAAAGACCATGAAAAGTTGAAATGATCCTATTTTTGGTGGTTGGACGTACTTACATATAATATATATATATATAGACCTAATGTAGACTCTTGATTAATACACACCCCATATGAAGAGCATGTCCAATTCAAATGGGAGGGTTATGAATCAAGAGTCTACATTAGAACCCATTGGACCTCTGTTTTGACAGGAACAAGACCATGAAACGACCCTATGTTGGGTGGTTGGTGGTCCAAAAAAAAGAGGTCACTCAGGTTCTAGGGATACCATAGAATACCTGGAGCATGCAGGAGCCCTGACCACATCCTCAGCTTTTGGTCGTTCAGGGGGCTTACTTAAGGAAGTTTGGAGAACGTTGAATCTAATCAAGAGACCTCTTAACTTAACATCAAGAGGACCAAGACAAACACCTAACATACCTCAACTATCGCAACATGTCTTAAACATGACGACCCAGTTGATGACCCCTACGGGCTCCAAGTACCTCTTCTTAAGGTATGACTGGACCCTCCTGGCGCCCAGCCCAGTCCCACCAAACCTCAGAAGGTACGACTAGAGTTCGAGCGGGATCAGATTACAAGGACAGACCAATTTCCAATGTCTTCCCCCCCCCAAAAATGATAGACATGGTTTCCACATGTTTCCCATTTGCATGAGTCATATCTAGTTGTCATTACTTTTTCTATCTGTTTGGAGGGTCTGAAGATCTCATTTGACCAACCCAGTCGTCTTCCCCGGCGCCACAGCTCGACCGACCGGGTGGATTAGGAGTGGTTCAGCGACCCACAGGTGGAGTTTGAAGGCAAGGGAAGACACGGAGGGTCACGCGGGTCAAAACGCCCCACAGGGAGGGGGAAGATGGGGGAAGAGGAGGCATATGCCAGGAGTCACAAAGGGGTGGTGTTTGGTCCCTAAGTAAGTGGATAATGGGCACCCCTAACCTCCATTAAGCACACCTTTGTGACTGCTGGTGGGGGGGATTTGGGGAGCTGGTTCATCAACATGCCGTCCGAGGAGTCGGGCTGTGCATGCGGTGCAAGATCATGTTGCATTGATCAATATTTGGATTAATTATGCTTTATACTTTACGGGTGAGAATAGTGAGACATAGTGAGACAGCCCCATTTTGTGCTCTTTCCAAGGGTGGGAGGAGACAGACTCCCATTTCACATCAACAACTTGCTGATCTTGGGATGAGAGCTGAAATCAAACACCTGTGATTCTGGGATTGCTTCGACAAAAGTGTGTGCTTTTAGGCAAGTGATGGAAATGCGTTGACAGGTAGTTTGACAGGTGTATTTCTCAGACTCCGGGGATTTTTGGCTGAAGCAAAAGCAGCGAAGAAGGGTCGTCCCCGCTGCGAAGAAGGCTCATGCCATGTCCAAAGGCCCTAAGTCACTACAAAGTCGTCCCCAGATTGCGCGAATGGTTCAAAATGGGTGACCTCCCCAGCTGGTGTTGTCGTCCAACACCCCTCAACTGATTTCAAAACCACCAAGTGATTTCGGAAGTGCAAGGAGAAATAAGGAGAACCCTTTCAAGAAGCGATATGTTTGGAAAGAAAACATGGAGCAACTCAGATCAGATTGTCGAATGAACCAGGCCTACCAGGTGTGCGACCGCTGCAAGAAGCCCGGACCCCTTCTGGCCATCCCAGACCTGGCCCGACAGAGGCGGCAAGAAGTCCTTGTTCGATCTCCTGGAGGATTTGGACGCGCCCGCGTGCCTGAAGAAGTGCAAGGACCCACATGAAGATCATGAAGATTAGAAACGCAGAACCCAGACACTCCATGGGACTGCCATATATGCCGATCAATTGACCCCACCCCAATTGATCAGCACATACGGCAGTCCCAGGTCCGGGTCGTGTTGAATATCAACCCCCTCTAGCCTTCCTGGCCCACCATGGATTTAGGGGTTTGAATTCCGAACCAACCTATTAGCAGCAGCACCGTTTTCCCGTTCGGGATCCACTGCCACCGGGATCCGACCTGGTTCGGTACGACTGGGCCCGACTGGTGGGCGCCAATCAATAGTATCAGTCTCCAGCCTCACGTACTTGGATCCATATAGGGCTTATGCTCAACTCAGGATTTTAGACTTCAACACCGGGTCAAACCATGTCTTCCCTTGGTGGTCGAACGGCAGACGCGAACGGTTTCAGGAGATCGCTGCGGCGAACAAGAAGTGAGAGACAGCGGCTATAGCACCTGGAGGTCAATGAACATGCCAGTGACAGACTTCGTGGATCACCATGATCCTGCGTGCCTGCCACTGGCTAGCTACACCTGGACTGAAATTGTTGTTTTGTGAACCTGGAAGGCGGCTGTTTGTCAAGAACAGATCGCACATGCTGCATGTGCTCTAGGCATTTCTGAGCATGTGCTTTCTTCAGGCTCATGTGGAAGGTCACGAAGGCCTGTGATCAAAAAACACAACAACATGCAAGCTGCTGCAAGCATCATGAAGCATCCAGTGCTTGAGCGTTGTGGTTTGGAGAAATTGTTGGGGGTTATTTTATTAAATATGTTGTATGCATTATTTAAGGATCGATATTTAAGCCAAGTAAAAAGTATTATACAATTATGTATATATAGTACTCTATATGATATTGCATTCCTGCAAACGGAACAGTGTTCCTTTGGCATCGATGGAAGGAACACGTACACAACTTCAATGTTTTGGATCCAGGTGCATGTTTGTTCCTGTGCTCAAGCTCGCTTTTCGAGTTTCGTTTTGGGAGGTCATCACCTTCCGCCACCATGACCTGTTTGTCCGACTGTTTGGAATTTGGTCCGACTAGTCCCTGCATGGTCTGATGGTGCGTGGTTTTGCCATGACCGAAGCAATATAGTATAGCTGGTGCTCAGGAAGGCTAAGGAGCCTCAGGCTCAGGAAGGCTGAGGAGCCGGGTGTCTCCGTCATTTCCCATGCAACGACGGGAGCCGGAACCTCTCCGAGCGACCACAGGTTCGTGCATGGTCCTCGCGCTATGCCGCTAGGCCCCGACACGACCCATGGAAAGCGGGGGTGGGGGATGGTTTCGGGGGTTCAGGTTGTTATAGCCCGAGGGCTCCTGGCCCATATCCTCAGGTTCGGTGCTTAGACCCCCAAAACCCACCCCAACCACCGAACCTCAGGAGGTGGGCCAAGAGCCCTAGGGTAGTCATATTACATGTCGTCAGCCGACACTCCATGTATGGCATACATCATATGCCTATCATTGCCCCCTGAAACCACCCCAATGAATATAAACTAGGAGCATCCAGGAGTCACAAAGGAGTGGTCTTCTCCCTACCAGGTGAGTGGAGAATGGCACCCCTACTGGTAACCTCCATTAAGCACCCCTTGGTGACTGCTGGAATGTTCTAGTCCGCATGGAGTGTTTGGGACAGATGGAGTGTTCCAGTTCTTGACCTTTCTCGTCC